TTTGTGTAATCCTAGCATTCCTAGCCACATTAAAGAGCTTGTATCCTCAAATGGTTTGAATCTTTTCAAAAAGACATGTTTTGGATACTTACTGTCTCTTCCCACCATATGCATGCAAAACCAAGTCATTCATCTTCTGATGAAGTATGAATTGACCAAATCCAATGAAACATATTTTTCTGTACAGTCAAAAGGTGAAACATTAAATTTTGGATTGCGTAAGTTTGCATTAATTACTGGTCTAAGATTGTTACCCATGTTACTGATTTTGGTTATACTCCCACTTATATTAGCAAAATAATGAGCAGTTATTTTCCTAACAAATTAGGAGTGGAGAAGTCTTATTTGAAACAGATAGTAACCACTAGATCCTGGGTAAACGATGAGGATGTGGTGAAGTTGTGCATCCTTTATCTTTTAGAATTTTTCATTTGTCATTCAGACAAAGATCATGATTCTTTTGTAGATCACTTTAGGTTCTATTTGGTAGAATCTGGGCAGTATGAGTCATACCCATGGGGTATTAAATCATTCACCCAGATGATGGAATCTGTTAGGCAAAGACTAAATCCGTATGTACATTCTTATCTCATACGGGGATCCTCACTAGCATTGCAAGTATGGCTTTATAAGTGTTTCTCTACTGTCAGCACTGATCTAGCTACAAGGTGTTCTAACTCAATACCTCGCATACTAAGATGGTCAACTACTAAGGGGAAGATTTGGTTAGCTGCCTTTGAAGAGAAGATGATAAAGCCTGAGTGGATAAAGGTATAGTTTCTTTTATTACGATTATACATTTACCTTCAACATATCTATAAGTATTCTACATTTTCTGCCTTGATCAAACTAATTTATTTTTCCTCATTCAGTTTACCAACATAGCTGAATCTGGAGAAGAGATTGCAGTGCTGATTTTGCCTGACAAATTGAGTACAAAGTTCAAGAAGGTGAACAAACATCTGAGGTTCCCAATGCTGATCCTCCTATGTTGGAACCCAAACATACAGATGGAGAAGAGGACAAGGAGTCTATTTTTGAGAAGATCAGTAAATTAGAAAAAGAAATTGAGCAGGTAATACATATAAACTACAATATATCTACATTTTATCTACTATTTATCTACATTTCATAAACTGTCTACCAAATATCTACAAATTTGTAAATTCTGATATATATCTTTATATAATTGCATATGTTTTTGTATTGTATTTTAGGACATATTATGAAGTTAACAACTTACTATATTGTAACTTGTAGGTTGATAGAAAGCTTGAAGATTTTAGGAAAGCTGTCTTTGTAGAACTTGATAGCCTTCGAGTGTTTATAAATGATTCTGTGCAGTCTGTTTTTCAAATGATAAACATTAGAAATGTGCAAGATGATGCAAAGGTAAGATCTGACTTTTATTTTTATAGCAAAACAATTTAGACAATGAAAAAATATATACAAACTAACATAAAACATTCAGTTTGCTGGCAGTTCAACAAAAAACAATGATCAACAAAAAGGCTTGAACAATCAGCATTTTCAGTTCAATATTGGGTAACAAGTGCAGGAAAGCACCAGCAAAACAGGCATCTACAAAATACCTACAAAATATCTACAATTTGTGTTAGTGTATAATTAACATATCTACACTTATCCACAAAATATCTACAATTTTGCTACACATATGCTACACCTTTCAAGCCACCATTATCCAGTATTATTTACCATTTTTAATTATAAAACAGAACATGTTGAAGGTAGTTGGTCAAGAAAATCTTTCAGCACATGGTGATTTATATACACATTTTCAAGTTGCAGCTGATGAAGACAAAGCGGGTATCATACTGTCACTCAGAGATATTTTCTTGCTATTTATAAATTTTAACATTCTTGTTAAAATTGATATGAATTATGTTATAGTTACGGAAGATATCAATGCACAGTCCCAAATTCACGGAGTGATAGTAGCAGCTCAGTCAGAACAGGTCATTAAGGAACATGACAATGAAGGTGCAGATGCACAGTATGTGGATCTAGGTGATTCAGAAGGACCAGGAGTTGAGAAGAATGGGGTCACACTAGATGATTTTGAGTTTCCCGACAAATTATCCCAGTTGGTTATGTTTGGCGATCCCATACAAGATCATGCAACACCTATGCATCCGGGGAGAACAAGGCATCCGGGAAAGCATACCCGATCACCATTTATTCCTCTATACAGTTCTGGGGGCAGCAGCTCGATTGGACCTAAAATTTTCTACCTCAAGCACCCTTTTACTACTGTTATTGGTGAAAATGTAGATCCGAATGTTTTAGAAAACTTCAACAAGTGGTTATACCAGTCTAGCGATAAAGGTTCAAAGAGGTATGAATGCATAATTTGACACTTTCATTTCAGCATTTATCTTTTACATATCTAATTCAATCTACAATTTATTTTTTTTCATTTATTTGTTGTTACAGGAGGAAGGCTCCGTTTTCCATAAAGGATAACCAAATTAAACTTTGGTTAGACCTTGGAGTGGAAAAGGTTGATAAGAAGGAATGGTTCTTTTCGCTGGCTTACCCCGGACAAGTCCCCAATGACTCGGTAAGTATTAAGGAGTCTATTCCCAAGATATGATTTGTAGTTATTTTGTCTTCTGTTTTGTAGATAATATATGAAGATGACTTATAGTATAAAGTGTAGATATGATGTAGACATGATTGTAAATGTTGTCTTTCTTGTATGTAGTGTAATTAATATTTAGGTTTCATGTTATGTATCATATTTGAAGATTATATATAGTATAAATTCTATATGTATTTTGTGGACAGAATAGTTTTATTGCAGTATTTACTGTTTGTAGTGTAATTGTAGTTATTTTGTAGTTTATGTAGAACATTACAAGATTAATTGTAGTCTAAAATGTAGATATAATGTAGACATGATTGTAGATGCTGTGTTACGTGTTTGCCCAATAACTGTAGGTAAATTATAGTTATTTTTAGATTAGGTACTTAACTGTAGGTAAATTATACACTTACTCTAGGTAAATTGTAGGTAAATTTGTTTAAATTGTAGAGCTGTTTTTAGACATCATTGTAGATATTTTTTGTTTCTGTTTTTGTAGTTAATTGTAGTTATAATATAGGTTTCATGTAGATTATTTGAAGTTGAGTTGCTGTTTATATGCCAACTATTTTTGGGTGCAACACATTAATGTAATAATGTATTACTTGAGGAAAATAGGCAAGTATGGCCCCAATAACAAAACCAGGTTTACCACAACGAATTGTGTGTTCAAGACCAAGATAGAACAAATTTATGAAAAGTTCATAAATTCACCTCCACAAGAGAAGTATTCGATTGTTAAACCCCAAGATGTTGTCGCAGAATATATTTTGGGGTATAGACTACTTGCCAATATTGCATGGGATGAATTTGACTATGTCATCATGCCCGTCAATATTAAAGAAAAATTCCATTGGGTGTTGATCGTTTTCGAAATTGCAGACACGTAACTTTATGCATATGATTCCATGGTCTCTTCACACAACCATTATATTGTTAAATCATGTGTCGAAAAATTTTCTGTTATCATCCCTTTGTATTTGTCATGCACTGGTTTCTATGGAAAGCATAAGGACATTAACTTTATGAATACAAAGGCATACATCGAGAAACCTGTTACCGACCCTCTTAACATTCGGTGGATGGTTGCAAAGATTCCACAACAAAAAGAAGGGTCACCGTAAAGGATCTATTCTTTCTTTCTATACATTTAATTCTTTTTTTATTTCTAATTATTTAGTAAATATTTAAAAAAATTGTGTTTCTGCAGCGATTGTGGTGTATTTGTTGATGCATTTGCGGAGTATGTTAGCCTTGGAGATTTGTCAATTCCCGCAGAAGACTTTTCTGATATTGACCAACATCGTAGACGCTATGGAGCGCTCCTATGGGGCTATGCTACAAAGAAGCAGGAAGATGGGTCAATCAGTGAAAGTGAAGTTACAAGCAGACTAGCAAGGAGGAAGGGTGCACCTGCATTGAATGAGAAAACAAGAGTCCAGAGAAAGATGAAGTAGTGTCATGTATATGTAATTTAGTTGATGCTAGTTTGTAGGAGAAGTATAGTACACAACTTTCTGAACATTCTTTTGTGTTTTTATTGTAGCATACCTTTTGTTTTGTTAATTTCTATCTAGTTTAGTAGTTCACTTGAAAATAACTTGGTGGTTTTATCTCCAGTTGTTTAATATTTACAGCACTTGTTCTTCATTATCTTAAAAATAGTTATTATGTTGTTAGAATACAAATTATCTACAAAAAAACTTCAAATTATCCACAATCTGGAAACACTGAATGTTGAGATTGTATATAATTTTATAGTTGAATATGTATATAATTTGTAGGGAATACCTCCAGTTGTATTTACTTTCTGTATATAACTGTCAGTTCAAGTTACATTAATTTTTTTAACTTGTAGTTATATTGTAGATAATAAATATTAACTGCTATGTACAGAATGTAAAAAATGGAGGTAGATGATTGACACAATACAGAAAAACATGTTAACAAACACAGAAACAAATTGAAGTTAACTACATTATGATCTTTCAAAACTTAAACGATTACACACAAAATTCTGTTAACTTGAACACACTAACAATTATTTTGAAATACTATTCTAACTACACGATATTTATTTCTTTTTGGGTGCATTCTTGCAAGATCTTTTGTTATGGCCCTTCACCTCCACATTTGCCACATGACACCTTGTACTTCTTTGACTTTAGTTCGTCATATGTTTTGTATCTTTCCTTTTGAGGTCTTCCTGGCTGCTTTTNAAAATATGTTAACAAACACAGAAACAAATTGAAGTTAACTACATTATGATCTTTCAAAACTTAAACGATTACACACAAAATTCTGTTAACTTGAACACACTAACAATTATTTTGAAATACTATTCTAACTACACGATATTTATTTCTTTTTGGGTGCATTCTTGCAAGATCTTTTGTTATGGCCCTTCACCTCCACATTTGCCACATGACACCTTGTACTTCTTTGACTTTAGTTCGTCATATGTTTTGTATCTTTCCTTTTGAGGTCTTCCTGGCTGCTTTTTCTCTCCCGTAGGTGGATTTACTACTTCATCAGATATATGTTGTGGCATATTCCATTTGCTTTCATCAGGAAGGGGATTTACTGGTATTTCATATGTACGCAGCAGGCTCTCCCTTGTGTAATACGGAGAGCAATAGTTTTCATAAGTTTCATTCCTGTGCCTTAGAGCTGCCAAAGCATGCGGACATGGAAGTTCATCAAGTTGGAACTGGCCACAACTACATTTCTTGCTTTCAAGACACACAATGTACCGCTTCACACCATCTATCACAGTATGGATATGATCTGTTGAAGCCCTCACCTACAATTACATAACAAACAGAAAGAAAAATATTTACAATCATAAAAATAGATTATCTACAATTTATCTATAATGTATCTATAATTATATCTACAAATTATCTACAATCTATAAATTAACTACAATTTATTTACAATTTATCTACAATCTCGAAATAATGTATATTAATTAATTAATTTTATGCACCAAATAAATAGATCTTACCCTAAGTTTCTGAGATAATGTACTATTTTTCTCCAATTCTTTGTTGGATTTGTACCCAAGGAATGTGAAAGTACCCTTTGTCTTCAATAACTTCTCTTTCGTCCAACGTTCAAGAAGTGTCCTCATATACTCTAATAGGTCAAATATTGACAGCTCTCTTGCCTCTTTTGTTACAGCATTCAACGACTCGGCAATGTTTGATGTCATAGTCCAAGTTCTATTCACCGTTGCATGTACTCTTGACCATCTACGATAGCCAGTATCATAGAGGTATGATTTAACACGCAGGTCTATCTCTTCAATCTTCGACATCCTTTCATTAAATTCATCCAGAGTGTATGACCCTGCTGTAGCACAGTACAATTCATTTAATTGTAGATGACCCTTCTTGAACTTTGCCCTTATATTTGTCCAAATATGCCACACGCAAGAGTAGTGTGGCATGCCCGGATAGACAATTGATGTTGCCTTCAGGATACTCTAATTCCTATCTGAAACAACACACATTGAAGTTCTTTCACCATATGTTTGCTTGAATTGCTCAAAAAACCATTTCCAAGATGTGTCGTTTTCCGAATCAACCACAGCATATGCCAAAGGCAATATTGTACCTACATTATTAGTAAAAAAATAATTAACTGGCAGATTTGGCATATGAAAACACAAATACATATAAACTGCACAATATATATATATATATATATATATATATATATATATACACACATAAAATATCTACAATGTATCTACAATTTTTAAATTGCTTACAAAATAACTACAATTTTACCTGCTGCATCCATTGTGATTGCTGTCAGCATAATCCCCATGTAGGTTGTCTTTAATAATGTCCCATCAACCACTACTACTGGTCTATAATATTCGCAACCACTTATTGATGTACAAAGAGCAACAAATGCATATAAGAAGCATTCATCTGTTGTCTTCTTCAATTTAACAACTGAACCAGGATATGTCTTCTCAAGAATATAAAAATATTTTGGTAATTTATTGTAGGAGTCAGCCGGATGACCTCTCAATAACTGTAAAGCCTTTTCCTTTGCCCTCCATGCTTGCATGTAGCTTAGGTTCACTCCGTGTTGGGACAACATGTCACTTTGTATGTCATTTGGTGTGTAAATTGTCTTAGTTTGGCATGACCATGCTACCAACTACAACTGCAGTACGTTTGCGTTGTATGAATGTATCATCCATTAAGGTGCATGTGTGTTGTCGGTTGAAACTCTTGATCTTAAACATTGCAGAATCATTAATTGATGTTGCCTTGAAGTGCCAATTATAGTTTTCTGCAATGCATATGAGCCAGTAGCTACAAAAAAAATACATTTATAATACAAGTTATCAATGTAGATTTAACAAAATGACCGTTTTAACATAACGTAACACATTATACAATATAACTACTTTTCATCTGCATATCATAAGAAAAATATTGTTTATAAAGGTCTTTTCACAATTAATATCTTCATACCTTCTGTGGCTAGATTTTTTAACTCTGAATTGGAACTTGTGCATGACAGAATAGTGCCTCATTGCAGTTGCAATTGTTTGCTTGTCTTGATACACTTGTCCTTCTTCGATAACACTTTGTGTACCTTCAGTTATTATTTCACTTTGATATTCCTCTATGACGGGAGAGACTGGCATATCAAGTAACTGTATTGTTCCAGACGAACCTGCATGAAAATAAAGATAAACAGTGTCATATACAATTTTATAGAATCTTTGTAGATAAATTGTAGATGAATAGAAAATTTTGTAGTCAATTTTTTTTCAACATGGATTGTAGCTTAATTGTAGTATAAATGTAGTAATTTTGTTGATAAGCATGAAAACAATATTGCTTTATACATCCTAAAACTGATTTGTAGTTTATTTGTAGATAAGTGTTGGAATTTTGTAGATATTATCGTAAAATCAGACTTCCATAGAATTTGAAACATAACAAACCTGCACTTGTGTTCTCATTTGTAAAGCCAATTCCATATTGAAATCTCATATACTTATGAGTAACGGATACGATCCTAAGTTTTTATTCTCTTTTTTTATCTCCATATACACACTAATCCCCATATTATTCCTAATCTCCATTGGAGGACAATTTTGATTCACAATGTATTTGATTTCTACAATTTTTTCCGAAGTATCAATCATTAATTGCTTTGCAATTGTAGAAATCAACATACTATAACTTGCATCCTCATCAAGCACAATGCCATCAACTCGAAAATCTCTAAATCTGCCATAGCTATCCCAATTGCCATTAAATGTAGCATGATTGGGATTTTGGACATGATTGCGTGCCGTTGCTGAGGTATTATTCAATATTTTGTCGATTTTTTGATTTTTTGGATTAAGAGAAAAAGACGAAGAACAGAGAACAGGCAGAATTGATTTCTACAATTTGACTTGAATTTGTTGAATATTTTGTCGCTTTTTTGATTAGTGGATTGAGGAAAAAAGTTGACAAACTAAGATTTGCAGAACTGATTTCTACAATTTGAAATTGAGCTTCTGATTTCGACGAACTGAGATTTTGATTTGTAGCGATTGTGAGAATATCGAAGAACAGAATTTGATTATAAATTGAAGATAAAGGATTTCCGTGATATGATTTGATCTGATTTACGCCAAATTTTTAGAAGATTCAGCTACTATTAATTAGTAATTAATGATTGGTATAATAACTGTAGAAAAAATATGGACAGAGTGGGTAAATTAGAAACTATGCACATTTTTTATAATAAGATTTCATATATGGTATAGGAAAGAAAAAATCTCAATTTTAAGTATTAGAATATGGAAATTGTTACTCACCTAAAATGCAGGTGGCCCAAAAATAAATTGTCTACAAATAATTAGTTGTGCACTAATGTTGGCTTACCTAGCAAGCGGATCCGCTGTTGGGGATTTCGCATCGTGACAATTGGATTGATCTATATTCCATCTATAGTGCTGCATACCCCATAGTGTCCCTTTTTCTTAAAGAGAGCAAATTCATCACGCTGATGGGACAAACTGATAAGGCGGAATTAGCTAAAAGCTGACGGAGAAAATCTGCTAAAAGTGCTGCAGAAGTGCTTCGTGGTTGTTTTGCCCATCTATACTCATCAGAACGCACCCAGAACCATTGTTTAGACAACGGTTTGCAAATGATAGAAAAGTCGTTGATTGTTTCAATGAAGTATTATTATTATTATTTTTATTTATTTATATTTGGACTGGTTGCCAGAATTTGTAAGAGAGGACCCTAATCACAGTTAAAGTATGCAATCTCATGGAACTTAAACCCACATGATTATCATTAACTTTTTGTATGAATTCATAATATTAGCCATCATATAGTATAAATAAGGAGACGACAGTTTAATTACGGCAATATAGCATATAAATTTAAAAGGCTTAACGAATCAAAAAGTTAATAATTTTTTCATAGTCCATTAACAGAAGTTGAAAATCTCTTAACTTTTGAAGTTCAACTTCTAATGAATTAAATCAATAGCCAAAAAGAAAAAAGGTACATGCAAACTGGTCAATAAACTCCATAATTCTTGTGGGCCCAGTATTATTAACTTGGCAGCTGATGGCACATGTAGGAGTCTAAATAAAATAGCATATCAAAAGATGGCAAAATGTATCAAAGTCGGCAAGCTGGAATTCCCCTTGGTTAATGGTTAAGTGTTTTTTTTTGTTAAGTGGATATATTAATATATAAACAAGTTTTTTGCAAGAACTACATAGTTGTAGGAGCATTGCTTCTATTTACAAAAATAAAAGATACTCCCTTCAATCTAGTTTATGTAGCTGTGTTTATTTAGCACGGAACTTAAGTAAAAATAAAATTTATGATCTAAAATAAATCAAATAAATTTGTCTGATTATAAACTATCTAGTTAAAAATAAAAGAAATAGTTTAAAATTAATTTTTTTAAAATAAAAAAGTATATATATAATTTTATACTGTTAAAAAATTATGATATATAAATTATAGCGGAAGGAGTAAAATAGTACCATTAAAGTAAAGTAATGTGAGATTTTGTGTAGGATTTCCTCACTGTTCCTAACTCTCTTGTTCCTAGTCACTCCCCTGTGTTTGGTGTGATTAAGCCACAGTATTCTTTGATAGAAACTTGCCGCTCACCCAACCAAACAATCTACAAGTTGCTGCAAATGGCTCCACATTCAATATTTTCCTTTTTTATTTCTTTTATTTTTGGGCTTGGCCAACGTTTATAGATTCGTTTTTGCGACCTATTATTGCACCAAACGTCCGGTCTCCACGGACGGACCCACACGGTGTTAAGTGAGTTTAGTTGAACCACATTGTGTATATTGGTAAATTATATTTAAAACAGCGAAAATATATATAGAAATAAAAATTTGAACCCACTTGAAATCAAATGCGCTGTCTGTTGAGGTAATAAAGAGGGTTCAAAATGTAAGGAAGGTGTTGTGATCGAATTCCTCTTGTGTCGCTTGCAAATTTTGTTTTGTGATCTCTAATGGGCCAGAGTTATGAGCGTAGTTCCTCATGAATTTATTATTCTTACTTATATTTTTTTTTTCTATTTCACTTTATTTTTTTTATTGAAGTCAATAAAAATTATTCTACCTGCAATTCAAAAATTAACCTATCTTCAAAGTGAATTTTGGTTGTTTCTTTCTTAAATTTTGATAAAACATGAAGGTACATTTGTTTAAATTATTTAAGAACAAAAAAAAGTGTTCAAACCCTACTTGTATAAATTTTGGGTCCTCTGTTCAAGTGCGTTGTTCTTTTTCTTCTCAAAAGCTGGTTGTTATCTTTCACAAATTCTCAAAGGGGGATTCCTTAACTGTAATAATCCCACATAATTTTTCAGGCCGCCATTTCTTGATCCCTGTTATACTTTGTATTATAATCTTTTATGTCATTATCAGCTTAAGGAGTTACCATGGCTTAGCTAATTGCTAACGTATAGTTGCTTGCGTCACATTGTCCGTATTTATAATAATTGAGTATAAATACGGGACGTTCTCCCAATATACCTAAAAATAAATCCTTTGCACGCATCAGACAGTTCGAATAATGTCTCTGCCTTACCTGATATCAGATCGCGAATATGCAAACAAACTGCAGATGCAACATGTTCTTGTAAACTCTTTTGAAAACTCTCATCCTCATTTGTCATCAACAAACCAAGAAACCCCTGAATTATCCCAAGATTTCTGTGGGATTTGCCAGAAGATAAAAGGAGCAGATCGAATTATGTTCAAACTCGAAAACTGCTGTCGTCATTCTTTCTGTTCTCACT